GTATACGTTAATGTCAGTATACGTTTTATCGAAAAGGAGATGATGATGCAGCACCAGGTGTTTTTCACTTATCAATCAATCAATCGAAAAGGATATGCAATGTAAGAAGTAAATTTGCGTAAACGACGTACCTTACTCCGGCAGATACAAATTAGCAGCGGCAAGGAGGAAGCGATGTAAGCGTTGATTCGTATCGGATGTTCATTAAGAACATCGCCCGAGCTAAATACCCAACTTGCGCCCAATGGTGTTGGTGTGCGCTGCAGTGACAGGATCGACATAATTGAGTGAATGATTTAGTCTGTGGTAAAATCCTCTTTTAGGCAATTATGTCATCCAACAGCCAGTGATTATTGTTGTCCTGCCTCTATGCGGTCTTTGATAATTTGTAAGAGGGTCTCCGCATTCACTTTTTCTTTTGCCGAATTTAGATTCTTCAATTTCGACGATCGTGCCAGGGCCACCGATCTTTGCACTATTCGTCATGCCATATGAAATTAGCATTTCTTTAAAAAAACTTCCCCAGTCACATAGTTTTGTCTGATAACTTTAGTTCATCTCTTCCCAGAGAATAAGAAACTCTTGGATAATAATTAACAAACAAGAAATTAGTTTCTATGTCCAAATTAGATTTGGCGAATTAAGTGAAAAATATTTTTTTTTGTAATTACACCTCACTCTGTATTCTAGATGTATCACATCTAAAATTCTTATTAAAATCAAGTCTGCAAATTGCATTTCACTTCACTTTTTTCGTTTAGAATGATTCCATGAATCGGTCATTGTCACTGAGAAGAGGGCAGATCACGGTGTAGTCCAGGAATGTGCGTGTTAATTGCATACTCGAAATGTGTCAGTATCGACTGTATTGTTTAAGGCAATTAAGAATATTTAGCCTAATTTGAGATCAGAATACACATTTTAATGTAAAACCGGCTGAGACATGATATGAAAATTAGTCGATAGTCGTGTGCAGTGCAGTTGATATAGTATATGGAATATCATACTTGACCTTTTAATGAGCAATTAAATCTCTGCTAAACTGCCGCCTCCTGATTGGTCGTGGGGTAGCGGAGAACAGAAGACGGTATGCTTGCTGCGCTTCAACTTAATCTTTCGCGCCGAGCGAGTGGACTTTTGGCTTGAGCGCCGAGTGGACTTGGGCTGTGAGCAACGTTTTCCGCGAGGTTTTTCCTTTATTTGTGGCGTTACCATTTTTGCAGATTTCTGTTACCAACCACTATTACTTTTCCTCTACAAAATATTATCTTCAATTTACCCTTAGGCGTCCATACAGTACAGATTTTCCAATGAAAGTTTGATGGTTCCAATATAAAGGTATTTGGTTTATTTTGGTGTGAATGCAGCTCAATCTTGCTGTACATACCAAGGTGGAACAGAATGTGTCGGGGTGTTGTGGGCGGCTCAGCCCCCCATCAACCCTCCCTTCGGGCAGTGCCCGAAGGCACGCACAGTCACGGCAACTTAAATTGCTATATTAGGCTGGTTTATTTGTCAATACGTTTTTTTTTTTTTGGGGGGGGGGTTTGGAACATGTGAATTGCCGTAATTTTGCCGAAAGTTGGGTTGTTTTTTTGGGGGTTGGGTTTTGAATTCTGACGCGTCAGTCCGTAGAATTTCAAAGATGGCGGTTACGTCCGTAGTGTCGTTGGCCGATTTTAACCGTTTTTTGTGCTAGTTTTACGCAATTTTTCTTAAGCCTGTTTTACCTCATAATTTCCCCAATATACTTCATGCCCTTCCCCGCAATCGGGACTAACAAATCAAGATCGTCGATGGAGAAATGATACTCGATCTCCTGAACGATTCATTTGCACAAGAGACAACGCCGAGAATCAATGATATTATTGGATTTCCTGCAGAAAAACCTAATTTTTGTCGACTTAGTCTCTGGAAGAATGCGTAGCTCTGTAACAAATACCAAATGGGTAATGGCACTGATGATTAGCTAACTATAATTTTGACAAGCATGTAGTAACACATGAACTACTTAGGATATATCAGTATTGAGTTGTGGTCAGTGTTTTGTTTTTCCAGGCAAGATAAACAAGATAGCGACTTTGACTTGGACTTAGATATCTTCATCATTTAGGGGTGACTATTTCCCTTATATCTGAGCGTCGTTATAAGTAACCTATATCAAAGCGGACATTGAAAAGATAATTTTCATTAGCTAGTTGACACATCGCAGTAACAAATTATGCTGTCAAAGCAGCGTTTCCTTTTGCAGTGTAAACATGGGGGACTCGGAAAAAGATGGGTCGGTCATCTTTTTTGTCGTATATCTTTATAATCGATTTTCCCACCTTTTGCCATAGATGAAAAGTCTCGGTTTATGTTAAGGTAATTCCATTTTTTTGCTGAAACCCTAATTCATTCACTAACTTTTCCTTATTCTTTTAATGTCTTTTATGACTGTAATACTTCGCGAAGTTTTGAGACTGATGGCAACCATTCTGAGAAAAAAGATAAAAGAAATTGCTGTACAATATCAAGGTGATGATTTTTATTAAAGGCACGGGCATAGAACGTCCTTGCTTCGTTGCTTGACCTACTTTCAGCAATGCTTGGCATGCCCCGCGGCCCCAAAGGCCACTATAAAAGTTTGATGCAGAATAACCTTTTCGGTCACATAGTACACTAATTTCTCCACTTACTCCATTTTGATCGGTTCCAATGTGTTACCAGGAAGTCGGTCAGTTCGCACAGAAAAAAGTTTCCAGTGAAGTCCGAAAAAAATGGTCCGATCTACTTTAATGTAAAACTAAAAGTTTACTCAACCTTAATGAGTCGTAGTTTGATATTTTCAATGTAGCACAAATTTGCAGTAATTTGAAAGGGGAGCAGTCACTTTTCTAGGGAGAGCAAGCTCATTGTGGAATCATTTTTATTTTGGATCCTCTTATTTCAGTCTAACATCTACCCGAAGTTACCTTGGGCAAGCTTCTCCTGAGGTGTTCGGATGATACGAAACAATTGAATGGCTGTGAAGGGATGCGTGTGGAAATTGACGAATCCAAATTTGCCAAAGAAATGACAATGTCGGGAGTGTTATAGAGGTCCAGTGGTTATTTGGTAGCTTTAATAGGGAATCGAATGAAATTTTCATGGTGCCTGTGGAGAAACTTGGAGACAACAAGTGATAGTTGACAGATCACTTTTGTATTGTCTCGATGGTACAAGTTGGCTCGATGTACGGAAATATACACATGAATAGATGCATTAGTAAGATTGTTTGCTGTTCTTAAATGTATTGGGATGTGCATTCTTGGAATTAATTAGACGGATTATCGAGTGAAATATTTGTCAGGATGAATGTAATGTAGATCTTGAATGCAGCCCTGTCGATTTGCAAGCTATTTAATAACCGAAGAAATTGGTTAATTTCAGCTCCAGTTATTGCACCCTTTGATTGCTTGGTTAACAGATCCTTGGTTTGTTTTTTTCTCTTCCTGCACTCAATCGTATTTCTTTCTTGGCGTCGATTCGGTCTGTATTGGATTCGATTTTTAGACAATGGCCCACATGTTAAGGGAAAATAACTAATTTTAACTCCTTTAACTTAAACTTGTTGGATAATAAAGACTGCTGGAGAATCTGGTCCAATATTACTTGAAACCCACTTCATATTCATGTTTCTGTGGAAGACGGCCGTTGTTAGTCTGTTGACATGCTAGACCAGTTGCCTATTGCAGTGTATGAAAGCGAGGACTGCGGGGAAACGCGCCGCTACACCTTCCGCCGCATCCAGACCACGGCCATCCGGTTCCAGGTAAAAGCGGCGCACGACGTGGCCCTCTGCCTCTCCCCTGACGACAACGAAGAGCAAGAAGACATGTACGAGATCTTCATCGGCTGCTGGGGAGGCGGGGAGTCTGGCATCCGACGCAATAAGGACGAGGACGTGTGCCGGGTCGAGACGCCCGACATCCTGAGCGACGAGGAGTTCCGCAGCTTCTGGATCAAGATTGAGCACGGCGTCGTCAAGGTCGGCTTGGCCTTATCTGTTTGATTATGAGACAAAGGAAGGATTATATGGAAGGGAAAGAATAACTAAAATGATACAGGAAAAAAAACTTCTAACTCCTTTCATGATGCAGGTAGGGCGGTCCGGAGAGAAGCATGCCTTCATGAGCTACACCGACCCCGACACGCTGCTCCACGTCACGTGGTACGGCTACTCCACCGGCTGGGGCGCCTCTGGAGAGTGGATGTTCCCGGGTACGGCCTCGCCTCCTGCTTGTCTGATGTTCGAAACTTGACTGATAGTCCTTCGGGACGAGGCTTTTTAGCCCTCGGGAGGAGTGAGAGAAGGCGACTAACGTGTTTGTCTCCCGCCAGATGACGACGAAGGATCCTCCTCGTCCTCCTCAGCCATGTCCTCCTCGGACTCCGAGGCGGAGGACATCAACAACCTCGAGGACAGACGTGAGGACTCGCCTGTATTTAGAGCTCAGTTGCTGTTCGAAAGGGCAAAAACGAGGAAAAGAAAAGGGAGGATTGGATAGCTGCCAGGGTAGCAGAGGAGCGGGAGAGCGAGATGGATTTCAGTTGCAGAGCTGAACGTCTTGGTGATATTATTCCTGAATGCAATGGGGATTTTCACTATTTGAATAATTTGGAAGGAATACAGAGTGAAATATTTGATGAATCTGTGATGTAGAAATAGAATGTAGCTGTCGTTTAGAAAGCTAGTTATTACTGGAGATATTGGTTGGTGTGTCAGTTCCAGGGATGTTCTTATTGGTCGTGTGCCTTTCAACGATTTCTCGTTTGCTAATTTTAGGACGAAAAAACGGGTTTAGAATTCGTTTAGAATAGAAAGTGTTGAACAATATCATGCAAGTTTTAAAAACAAGACCTGAAAAACACTTGATATAGTGGTCATTTAAAGGAACATATGATGTATCCTGTCAGTTAACCAGTAAATCCTTTTTTTTTTCTCCAGCCATCATGTACAAGCGCCCCGCCCGCTGGGTGCCGGCCAAGGGCGGCTACTTCCCGAGGCATCCCGTGTCCGGCGGCGAGGGTCCCGACGGGGAGGTGTACGTCGGGATGGCGCACCACGAGGGCGGCTACATCCTGGGCATGGTCGTTCCTGACCAGGGATGCTGCTACATACCCTTCGGGGGAGAAGCTATAGCCAAGGAAGAGTATTTTGTAAGTGATGTGATCTTTTTAATAACGTAAATAGGAAATGCGTAAAATTCAGTTTATTGATAAATATGTAAAATGGATAAAGCTAAGATTAGAACGCAGTGAATGATCAAATACAAACGAAAACATAATCAATAATAAAAAAAAAAAATAAAAAAAAAAGTCAAGGCATCATTGTGCGTTATTTCCCACAGGTGCTGAGCAACCCCGGTACAGTGGGCATCAGCTGGGAGCCGGGGAGCAAAGGCAAGGTTCCCAGCGGAGCTCTGCAGGGGGGCCGATCTGAGGACGGCGAGCCTCTCTACATCGGCAGGATCTCTGTGGACGGCTTGGTGTCTGTCGGCAAGGTAGGACGGGTTGTCTCGAGAATACTGATTTGAGAGATCACTAGACTTAATTTCTTTAACCAAAAGATTCGGTTTATTTTCGATGGGAGTTTAGTCTGCAAGGATATTGATTCGTGGTATAAAGCGGTTTTTTCCCCTTTTTCTCAGCAAGATATTTATAAAATCCAGTTTCTATTTCTGACAGCAGTTACTACGCTGCTTTGAAGGATACTGCTTTATGATAAAACTTTTATTTCCTTTACTTCTTAGCAGGGTATTTACAAAGGGAGTGTTGATCCTCTTTCCCCAATAACTGACTCCTCGCCTCCTTCCTGGTGCACCCGAGCCACGGGGTTTGCTACGTCCCCTACAGCGGCACCGAGCACTGCCATCGCGACTACGAGGTCCTGTGCATTCGCGACGTGCCGTGCAAATTCTGAATTGGCTCAAGACTTCATGTCTATTGTACATAACTCCATCACGTGCAGTTGACATTTCTCAGTACATATAACTACTTCATATATTAATGGTTTTCTGTTAGATGATAATGCCAGGAATTACTACAGATTTTCCTCCCATCTTTTGCAACCACTTTTTTCTGTTCCCGAGTTTTCATGTATTGCTAATCAATACAGGTCGCTTGGGAAGTATATTCAGCCCTTAGAAAAAAAAGTTGCATCGTCACGAATAAAATAAGAATCTTTCGTATTTTTTTTTTTCATGAATCCTCGTATCTGGTATTGCCACAGTTTTTTGATGAAGTGAATTAGAGATTTACAGATTTACAGGATTGCCATAGGCTTCCATCCAAGAATATTTTGGGCCAAGGATTAAAATCCCCTTAATTGTTTTTTTTTTCTTTCGAATCTCATCACTTGCAGGAGGAGGCGAGTTGAGCAGAGGGGGGGGGGGGGGGGAGAGGTGTACAAAGATGAGCGTAAGAACAGATGAAAGTGAAACGGTCTGAAATATAAACAGGGTCGGGGGGGGGGTGCAGGCAAGCTCAGAATATTTTTCAGTAAACAAATGAGTGGGTGAGAAATTACAAGCTAGATGAAAAGAGAAATATAGAGAGATGAACGAGTAGCTAAAGAGGGGGAGATATAGATAGGGAAAGAAAGCGCGAGATCTAAATATATAGAAAGAGGACTAGAAAAAGCGCGACATGTATATGTATATATAGAGAGAGGAAAAGAAAGCGCGAGAGAGCTAAGAGATAGAGGAATAGAAGATATGAGGAAGAAGTTGTAACATGGAAGCATTGGAGTCAAAAGTATGGTGATCCCTTATAAAGGATACACAAGGAATCACAGCCAATTGTTCAGAACCACTCAAAGGGCACGATGGCTACCTTGCAGCACAAACCAAGGATAAGGACAAGATTAATCTATTGGCAGAACATTTTACTAGAAAGATACAAGTGCGTAAACCCAGGCGCAATCCAGCTATTTTGAGGATGACTAACGACACCATAGAACTAATCATAATAGATAAGAACATGGTGTACAATCTTTTCTAAAAAAAAGGCTGTGATCCCAAAAAGGCAACAGGTCCTGATCATATTAGCATACGTATTCTTAAAAGGTGCGCTGATCAGCTCGCTCTCTTTTTCAAAGCCTTTTTCAGACTTATTTCACAAGCAAAGTGGCCAGAGAGAGGGGGGGGGTAGAAAGAGAAACAGACAAATAGGAGACATACACACAGACAGACACCAGAGAGAGAGACAGACAGAGAGAGAGAAGCAGAGAAAGGGACAGTCACAGACACTAGGGTGGCCGTGTTCAATTACCTGACGCACAAGAGCGGCGGTGTTGGAGGAAAGTGGCTGCGAGGACCTGAGCCAGTGACTTTGAACTTAAACTTCTATAAAGGCTTGTCGACATTTCCCTTGATGATTGATCGTCGGCATTGCAATCGAGAGAATGATTGGCTGTTGCGAATTGCCACGAATCTTGTGTGTGGATCGTGTAGGTTATTGCAAGGTGGTTAAGTCACG